ATTTTGTAAATATATTTTATGAAAACTGAATTACCGGAATATAAGTCTTAAACTTTTACATTTTGTATATATGTATACAGTATATTCATTTTATTAATAATATTTAAAGATACTAACTTTCTTTTTTATAATATATTAAAAGATTAGTAAGGAAAAAAATGAATAAAAAAAACGAAAAAAATAAAAAAAAACGAAAAAAAAAACTTATTTTACTTTTCAGTTATTATGTCTGCCACTTCTTCGAGTGTTGCGTTTTCAGCTTTTTTGGAAGCCACTCCTGCTGCTTTTTCAAGTATTATGTCTGCAGCCCCTTTAGATATCACGTCTGCTATTTCTTCAGATATTACGTCTGTTATCTCTTCAAATTTTAGGCCTGTATCTTTGGCTTTTGTAGATGTTGCTCTTTTAGTTATCACACCAGCTTTGAGTCTCTCACCTAATGAAAAGTGAAACCTTCTCTACAATATAAAAGGTTCATTGGAAATTCTAACAGATGAATTTGAAGATAATTGATGGCCATTAATTTCAAATATTTGGATCAAATAGGATTCGTATAAGCATGTGAACGGTAATATTCAAAAGACTTTTGCTTGCTGTTTTATGAAACACCGAAATTCAAGTACCCGGAAGCAAGAAAATATCCCAAATAAAAAATGTCAGATAACAAAAACAAGACCCTCTGGTCTGTGCCAAGCAAAGATTAACGTTTCTTGGTTAATTGCTTCAAAAGTGGTTCAAGTAGAATGATATAAAAATTCTTTGGATCATACACATACTTTAGAAGAAAATGATAGGTTAAAACAATCAAAGGCTGTCAGGACTCTAGTTAAAAATGAAGCAATAAAAAATTATTCACCCTCAGCAATCACAGCTACTATCAAAGAATATGCAGCAACCGAGTTAGGTCTTAGCGCAAGTATATATGATCTAAATCATAAAGAAGTAACAAACATTAAATATAAGGTTCACAGGTCTATGGAAGCTCATCTTATTAGAAATTCGAACCTGATATTAGACATTTCAGAATCAATATCTTATTTAGAAAATCAGAGATATTTTGTTGAAAATTATCAGGTATCCCACCAGTCCACTAAAAGTATTGTGTTTGTGTATCCAGAGCAACTTAAGAAACTTGAATGTTATGGATAGTTAATGCTGATAGATTTGATCTACAAAACCAACTGGTATGATTGGCATCTGTTTACTCTTTACATCTATGATACTTTTGGATGTTGGAACGTAGGAGCTCATTTTTTTGTAAGCCATGAGGATAGTGACACAGTTGCTAATTATTCATAATAGGTGTTGTCGTTGGTTCTCTCGTTATATACTTTCAGACCAAAGTAGCATTGAGGCTAAGAGTATTAGGCAAGCTTTTCCTGGTGTAATTGCCGGTGAGCAGGAGTGTCAAATAAATTCTTTGTGTAGTTTACGTTATAAGAACTTGGATGCAAAAAATTTATAAAAAAAAGACCTGAGATATTATGATTGTAGCAATGCACAAAAGAACAAAAATTGGCTGTGAAAGCCTTATCCAAGATGCTATTAATTACTCAGTTTCCGCTTTACAAAACTATATTAAAAGAAACTATGCAAAAAATACACACCAATAGAGCATGTAGGCTTACCAGCACTCCTCCCTGCTTTTGCAAGTTACGTCAATGAACCCGTTAAAATCTTTTTATAATGAATTAAAAAAAACAACTTCGCTGTCTCATGGTTTAATTGGTGAATCAGTTTTTTTTTTTTTTTTTTTTTTTTTTTTTTTTTATTTTTATTTTATTTTTTTTTTGTTCTTTTTTTTATTATTTTTTATTTGTCTACGCTATTCAGGGATGATATTTTCCTGTATTGTATAGAATACAGCAGAAATTTTAGAATTAGATTGCGAATTATTTTCTTTTTCTATAGAAAGCAGGCTAATTTTTTAATAAAAAACATTGAAAAATTTTTTTATTAGAAAAAAATTTAAGAAAATGGTTAAAAAATTTTTTCAACAATAATCTGGGGTGGGTAGGGTTTTTTTTTGCAGAAAAAAAAAGAATATAATACAAAAGAAATTTTCTTTTTTTTTTTTTTTATTTATTTATTATTATTATTATTTTTTTTTTAAGTTTTTTGCAGAAAATCATCATCCCGCACCCATCTTATATTATTATTTTTTTTTAATATATCTTTCATTCACTTTTTTTTTTAAAGTGCTGTACATAGCATCATTAATATTGATTATAAAAAAAGGTCTGAGTTTGAAAGTGCTACCTTTGACTTTTATATTAAAAAAGTGTCAGCTTATGGTGTTGAAGATGATATTCTCAAGGAAATTTACAAGTTTTCCTTCCTGTTTCAATATCTGCTCATCAAAGAGGCCTGTACTGTAATGAATAGGCTTGAAAAAGAGAAAGGTGTGCCAGGTTTGACCTCTATCAATTGTCACTGCTTGTTTCGCAATCGATATTTGCTGCTATGTAAACATATCTTTTATGAGCACATATATGGTAATAACTTATTAACTGCTAAAGTATGGAAAAAGTTCCAAAAAACATTTGAAAAAAGTGGGTTTGATGTATATGTAAGTCAGAAATCATTTATAGAATATGTACAGAGTGAACAACAAAGAAGTGCTAAAAATCAAAGAATAGCTATGGCTGAATTGACTGAAAGAGTATGTGATAGATACTGGAGGGTTGAAGAGACAGGTAATGTTAAAAGGACGAAATCTTATATTTCTATGTTAGAAGCTTCCTTAAATCCGATTATCTTACAATTTAATTAATTAAATGTAAAATTGTAATGATAAAATTTTTTGATATTAATAAAGACTTAAATAAATATAATTGTTCTCCTTAAATTTTAATTTTTTTTTTTTTATGATCCATTAAATCTTTATTTATTTTTGTTGTTTATTTTTGACTACCAATTTTACTTTTCTATCAAATATCAGTGCCGTTTTACTGGGAGTTCAAAGGTAAATATTTTATTCTTTTGGTTTTTTTTTTTCTACTATTGCTTTTTTCGCTTCAAGTTTTTTATTTTATTTGTGTAATTTTAGTCGATGGGTATGTATAAGGATCATATTTATTTAGATTCATCGTGTTTAATATAAAAATTTTTTATTAATTGGCATGTTAAAAACTGCTAAAAGGTTTTTTATTGAACAATGGATTTGAATTCTACTTAAAGTTCATATTACTATTGATTAATCTAAAAATTTAAAATAAGCTATTAATTTCATTTTTTTATAGTTTTTTTATTTATTTTATTTTTTTT